CCCTGTATTGCATATTTGACCTTGTTGGTGGCGGTGGGGGCCTTCCTGCAGGAGGCGTCCAGCTGCTGCAGCAGAAGGTGTGGTTCCAGCTGTTTCACTGTTTCCAGTGCTCTCTGACTCGGTCTGTTTTGTCTACACCACGCTCTCTGCTGCTGCAGTGACCCACTTTCAGTTTCAGACACATTTAATCAGATCCAGAGAGTCGGTGAAAATAAAAGCAGAGGAGTCACAGAGGGGATGGAGCTTCTGTCTGCTGGCTGAATGAGACGCCTTCAGGGCTGTAAACACGCTTTTCCCTCCATCACCACCGTGTCACACTCTGGGGCCTGTGTTGTACTTAGAGGAAAGGAAGCTTCTGGCAGATGAAGTGAAATCAGTGAAGAAGAAAAAGCTCGAGCCTCCTTGACTCGTCTTCTGCCGGCCAGCTCTTGCGGCTCAGGGAGTTTTGGTGATAGCAGCATAATAACTGGGAGTTTCTGTTTGAGAAGCATTTCACGTCTTCTCTCCCTGAGCACATCGCTCCCTTGGCACCTCCCGCCTCTACCTGCTTAGAAAAACATCAGCACTCCTCTCCCGGAACCTTAACGCCCTCCTCATCAGCACTTCAGGGACAGACAGCAGTAGTGTCCTCAATGACGCCGCGTTTTGTCTGCACCATTTCAGCCTCGTGAAAATGGATCGGTGTAAATGGATTTACTTGACACTGCTCTTTGCACATCTACAGGCGCTGCCAGACGTCTGCTGGTTAGTTAAGGCCTCAGTATGTCTTAAATAAACCAGTTCTTGCAGCATGTTGTCCAGCCACGTCCACAGTTAAAGGCAGAGGCATCTCTGTGCTCACTGTTAGTCAGCCTCAGGACGTAGGGTGGAAATTTCTCATGTCAGAATCTGTTGGAAGCTCAGGCAGCGGAGCTTTTTGCACAATCCTCGTCTCCCCAAATCTTTACAACAGAGGTGGAGACCGCAAAGTAGAACCATCTGTAGAGCTGTGAGACGTTTTTGTTTTTAAAATTAAACTGCCCTTCAAACAGGCAGAGATTTCATTTCTGTTTTATGCTGTCAAAGGCCTTGCCTGCAGGATGTTTACTGCATGTAAACAAACTGTATTTGTAGTTGTGTGTTAATGCTTTATATGAGTAGTGGCTCTGGTCCTTGGCTCAGAGTCCAAATGAAATCCTGCTGTCTGATGTGGTGGAAGAATCACAGCAGCTGAGACTAAGTGTTCAGTGTCAGACGGTCACAAAGCTCTGTGTGTCAGACACTGCTGAATTTGGAGCTGATGAAAGGCACCAGGAGGAGTCAGTCCTTCACTTTCAAAGAGCGGAGGATGGGGATCTAAACCCTCCCAGCCTCCTCCTCTTCCCCCCCCTCCTCCTCCTCAGCTGCACAAATGAGCTTTCGCCTCAGGGATTGATTTGCAGCTTTGATGTGATTGGGGTAGTGTATTTTACCGAGGTGTCATTGAGACCACAGCTTCCCACATCAGGCCAGGTTCAACTTTGTCTGTCAGATGTCCGACTTGGAGGGGAAGACAGTTCTCCTCATTTGTATCTGCAGAGCTCCGTAAAATCCCCTTTTGTCCTGGCATGTAACGAGGATGCAACCATGATGTCACAAACCAGCGGGACAGGGCTCCACATGCCCTGACTTCAGTCCTGGTAAAGTGAAGCATGTTGTGGTTCAGACACAGCAGATTGTGTACGTTCATGTCCCTCATGGCTTCAGACACCCTGCACTGTGACACCTCCATAAAGGTGGATGTTTACTCAGGCATGAGAGCGACCGTCAGATTGATGCTGTGTCCGAAGCAGAATGTGCATATGAGTGGATATCACAGGAGTTCAGTATAAACGAGGATCTTATTTATTTTCCAGTTTCAGCTGCAGGTCTTCTTCACGCCGCCCTAAGAACAGATCTTCATGTGTCCCATACGGGTTTATTTATTTCTTAGAAGCTGGTCGTCATATTTCTGTTTCAGCTGGGCAAATGAGACTAAAGTTCTCAGTTAATAAACGTGAATAAACACTCCCAGTGCAGCTCCATCACTTCACACACTGGTGTATCACCACACTGGACTGGGACAGTTTGTCCCGTTTGGAAACATTCAAACTGAACCTGCTAAGTTTGGACCTTGGTGGATGGCTGGTGCCTCTCCCGGGGCTAAGCTGACTTTGAACTGACTGTAGTTAAACAAAAATGAATGAAAGAAATGTGAAAACTGCCTTAAATGATTTCCCTAAAATGAATCATTGCCTAATTGATAATGTGTGAATAATAAGCAGCAGCTTTTCCCGAAGTGCAGAGGACGAACGCTTCAGGTCTGAACGGCTGTGGAGCTGTTGGACAACACCGGTGTGTGTGGGCGTGTGTGTGCTGGAGCCCACAGCCTCTAAAGCTGCGTCTTTACACACATCCTCAGTCTGACACATGACATGTATTAGTGTGTCGGTCTCCAGCATTGCGACTGTGGGCTGCTGTGTCCACGTGTCAAGACGGAGGCCCACAGCATCACAGCCATGTGCCGAGCCGTGCACTCACCAGCATCTGTTAGCAGTAGAGTGACCTCAGCTCGGAGCCGTGTTTCGCCATCGGCACGCTGCTGTGTCACAGACCTGCACACAGGGCGGGACATGCCTGGTTCTCATGTCACCATTGTTATTATTTATTGTTTCTCAAGTTTATGTTCCTGATTTTATTACTGCCATTTGTCTTTGCTGTATGTGCGCATTAGAAGCTGCTGTGTTTATTAAAAACATCCTTCAACATCACAGCGTTAACAACTCTCACATTTGAGGTTTGAAACGTCCTCTTCCACACTCTGACCAAACCACGTGTTGCTCTAAACATCTGTGATGTCACAGTGACAGGGCAGCAGCAGCTTCATGAACGATTTTAACCTGAGGTGACTGTGACCTTCCTGTAGCCTTATTAATCCCAGTGCTTCTTGTGCAGCAAACAGGCTGCTGCTGCTGATGTGCACAGGTTCAGTTTCCACAGTGAAACCAGTGGAAACAAAGCAGCCGGGATCGGGTTGAGTCCAGCACCATCAGTAAAAGTAAACGGTCATTTCCTCTGGTTGTTTTCCTGGTGTCTCAGGCAGGTGTCAGCTGTTTCCGCTTGAAGGCAGTAATGTTTGTAGTGGTTGTGTTACTGCAGCCGTGGGACTGATCAAAGCACTGAGGCAATGTGTCGGACTAATAATGAAAACGGTTTATTGTGCTCAGCTTCTAAATGACTGCAGATACTGAAGTGTCCTCAGTGCAGAGACATGGATGGGAGCCTCAATGGTTTATGAACCATACGTTAATATAACTGGTCCCAGTTGCCTTTAGCTCGTTTCACATGTGATGCTACAGCAGGCGTCCCTCACGAGCACAAACGCAGAGCCAGGTACATAACAGGAGTCCCTGTGTCACATCTTCATCATTCTAACGTGTTTATGTGCAGGGTGTCAAATTAGCTTGTTCTGTAGGTGTCATTTCCCAGAAACACTGATGTAATTATGAAATTGAGTAAATAAATTATTACTGTCCTTTTTATTTAAGTTGGTGAATTCAATAAATGATGACATTGAATAAATCATGACTTTGGGCTGTGCGTGGAGCTCTGTCCAGGGTGTCTCCATGTTTCATGCAGAGATCACTGCTGTGTTTCAGCAGCTGCCCCTCTAAGGCCCTGGGCACTCAGCGGGTGGCCCAGATCAGGTGTGTTTCCTGTCACTAACCATGTGACTTGTTCAGGTGGTGTCTGATGCGGCTGTGTCAGATTTCTGCAGCTCGTGCTCTCAGTGTTGGCTCCTGCCGCTTTCAGCCAGGTGACAAAATCTCATTAAACCTGTGTCCACAGGCTGCTGAATGATTTGTCTCTGGATAAAGCAGTGAGCAATGGGATGTTGAGAGGGCAGGAGCCTCGGAGCGAGCACACACACACACACACACACACACACACACACACAAATGGTTAACTGTTGTTGTGCTGGCCTGGTCGGGTGGTCGTGTGTCCCCCACACATGTTATTCATATTTAGGAGAAACTGGAATTGTGTTGGTTTGCAAAGCCATCAAATGACGATTCCACAGTCAGTTCTGACATCTGACAACAGTGGCAGCTTTAGGAGGGCCTTAGCAGGCCATAGCTTTGGAGCCATGTGATTCATTAGAGTTAGTGCACGCGGCTGTTAGTACATGCACTCTCTTAAAAGGTTGAACCATCTGTGAATGCGACATTGGTTACCGAGCTCAGCAAACGTCTGTGGATGGGAGGAAGGGAGCCAAGGTCACCTGCTGACTCCTCAGCTCCCAAGTGTCCCTGTAAGCACCACGGGGCCTTTATCCACAAGTGGAGGAAGCATCGCTCCACCATCAACCAGCCACGCACAGGAGCCCATGGTAAGATGTCTGACCAGGCAGTGAGAAGGTCGAATCTGAAATCGCCATTACACAGAGAATTATTAAGGCTTCAGAGGTGAAAGGAGGTTTCAGATCCATCAGCAAGACAGAACACAAAGCTGCTGTAATGGGCCTCAGGGGAAATCCCGCTTCCTGTTGACCTTAACCAAGGGCACAAAAACACAGCTATGAGTCACTGGGAACAGGCCTCTAACTGGTTGGACACTGACTGGGAGGAAGAGGAGGGAGGGCTGAGATGAGACAGACTGGAGGGCAAATGTGGAAATGTTTTCATTTCACAGATGTTTGATTCAGCTTGGTCCATTTAAAAGGCAAGGCACCGTTGGCAGCCTGTGAACACAGCTGTGTCATGGCTCCTGGTTTCTGACCAGAAAGATAGTTATCTTACGGTATTTTACTGTTAAACATGTTGAATTAGATATACATGCATTATGGGAAATGTAGGATCTACTGTTTTTGGAGTTTGACCCACGCTGGGGACTAAAAGTGGACGTTTCCACCTCCTGGTGGTTGGTTTCTCACTGAGTCACTGCTGCTCTCCTTGTTCGTTTAGCTTGTGTTTCACTCATCTCGTCCCCTAATGTAACAAACTATGTGCACGTCAGACCGCTGAGATCTACATCCAAGACAGAGGAATCAGATGTTTGGTTCTCTGACAATACAAGTTCTGTCACTTCCCTTTTAAGGACGGTTATTTAGGTCCTAGTTAAAGGAGCAACACTGACAGTCCAGACCTGTATCAGGCCCACTTTCTACAACACGGTCTGAATTCCTCTCATGCTGGTGTTGACAAAGGGACACATTGGAGTGGAGCAGCAGGGAGTTTAAAGCTGTTTACAACAGCAGACAGAGGGAAGCCAAAGAGATAAACAACCCCTCCTGCTGCTACGCATTTTGCTGGTGACCCACAGAGTTGGACACTTTTATTTTGACACTCTTCACAGTAGACCTGAGACTCGAAGGCAGTTTCTGTCAGCGTCTCATTTTTCTTCTTTTTCTGTCTTTAATTTAGCCCTTCAGTGCCTGTTTTATAACAGATGTGATTTAAACTTAAGGAAATCATCATCTAATCACTGCTGCTTTTGTGGAAGAGGTTCAATCAGGCTGAGACTCCAGATGGAGTCTTTTGACAGAATAACATAATGGTAGTAATCATGGAGCCCTGTGATGGAGAGGAGCTGATCATAATTCTCTCTGATGAAGTTCAGTGCATGGTTTCAGCCATCATCTCCTTCCTGGTCACAGCACACACAAGACATTTTCCTGGAAGATGTTTCTGCCATTATCATCCTCTTTTTGTTGAGGTGCTGCTGATTCGTCAGGGTTTTTCCCCAGTGAACTCTGACAGTGAACAAGCGGACACAGAAATCACCGTTTTGGTTCAACTGTCTGTTCTGCATCAGCAGTGTTTCACAATCACATCTCACATTTCCCTTGATATATTCAATGACCCTGAACAATGTGCGCTGGCATTAAACGCACAACTGACGGATACAAAGCTGCAGAAAACCAGGAACACCCTACCTTCATCAGACACAGACAGACTTAACTTCCTCAGGGAACCACAGACGGCTCAATGGTGGGATTGAAGTGCCCCGATGGTGGAGTCCTGTCATATGCTGTCATGTAGTCGTCGTCCCCGGTATCCACCTCCAGGCATCAGCTCACCATCACCTCCTCCGTCATGTCCGTCGGCACACTGGAGACATGTTGTTGGTTTAGTCGTTTTCTGCACCGTTACCCAGCAGGCCTGTCGTTGTAGCTGTTGAAACGCTGATAGGATCCGTTTAATTTTTCCCACAGTCCCCTCCCAGCCGGGCCCATGAAGCAGTTTCCACCCGAACAACTAATGTTTGTTAATGTGAGTTTAAATTACAGCAATGTGCCCATCAGGAGCTTTTAGTGAGTCACCATCTGCTGGGGAGGAGCCGGGGGGGTGTGAGGAGAGGAGGAAGTAAGAGGCCGTTATATTCTCCTGTTGTATTCATTTACTTTAATACACATAAAGACAGTGACTTCTGGCTGCCTTGGTGGCCGAGGGGCTGGAGTGCCAGCCATGAGCCTTGTATCAGTAAAGAGCAGGAAGGGCCTGTCATTATATCTGGCATTTAATCATTTGACTGAATTAAATGTGCACTTTACAACAAATGGTGCTCCTGTGTATTGCCATAAATAATTTTGACCATCTTACAGTAATGTTTTAAGCTGAACTGCATCTTCCACATTCATCACATGACGCACACTGGCCCAGAAATCATTTGTCCCGTAGGGAATCACTGGAAAAGGAGCAGTAGATGGATACAGCCGACATTTCTCTGAACATCACAAACCTGCAGAATGACTCTATGATCAGGATGGGGCCAGGATCTTTTGGAAAGTGTAGAGTGATCCTGTTTGTGTGTGGGGGGAGCCAACAGGAAGTCAGGTGGCCCAGCACTAGTGAGCGCGCTCTATGGGCCCACAGCTGCAGAAGCATGCAGCATGCAACCCTAACCCACCCAGGTCATTTTTATGACTGGAATCTGGAAGTGTGAAGATTTGCTTCATATATGCCACTAAGCACCTTTGAAAGGAATGAATCGGTCACCACCTTATATTTGTTATGCTTCTGCTTAGACCTTAGAGTCTTATAGAGAAAGAAAGTGGGGAAAACCCCCTTTAACAGGTGGAACCCCCGACAGAGCCCAGCTCTTGGTGGGCGGCCTTCTGCCTCGACATCAGCTCGTCACCGAAGAGACGATAATCTTTGGGTTTTTTTGTAGCCAGAGCTTGGACCTGATCTCTCTCTGTGCCTCTCTCCATAGAAATGAAGATGCCATAAACCAAATGGCTGTGCCTCCCTTCCCGTCTCCCCCTGCTCCCCCCCTCCTCAACCCTGAGGTAATGTGACACACTTTAACACAGATATACACCCACAGACACGCGACCAGGGGTCATTATTGTTATATGATTGATGCTTAAGTAAAAGTATCAGTACAGCAGGGTACAGATACCTTTTTACAAGTGAAATGCCTGCTGAAGTAACAGCAGCAATCATCAGTGATGCACTGGGGTTTTTATACTGCTGATACTTCAGTTTCTGTGACTGTTTGACGTGATCAGATTATTGATCCTGAGTTGTCAAAGCTTCAGCAGTGTTCCCTGTTGGAGCCGCTGCAGGTGGAGCTGGTTTAGCAGACAGTGGTGAACTAGCTTCTTCTTCCTGGGAGTGTCCTCGCTCTGCTCGTCTGCCTGTGTGACCATTAATTGAATAGTCTTACCTGGTACAGTAGATGCCTGACACATGTCAGGGCGCCCCAGGCCTGCTGTTCCATAATGGATCACAAACCAAAATGCCTGGTCCAAACTTTAACCTGTGGTCAAAGTAACTGTTATTCAAGTACAGTTCTGAGGTAGTCGTGCTTTCCTTGATTGTTTCCATTTTGTGCTGCTTCTGCTTCACTGGATTTCAGACAGAAATATTGCTCTTTTTACTTCACAACGTTGATCTGGCAGCTGTGACTTTTGGTCACCACTTACACAATAGAGTACAACACCAAGAAGAAACAGACAAAAAATAAAGATTTTAGATTTGATAAACTTGTAAATGCAGTACAAAAACCTGCAGGGTTAGGTTCAGGGTTGTGAGCCCAACTGGCAAATCTCAGCATTTTAACATTTGTCTACAAGATCATGTGCACGTTGTGTTTAATGGATTCAAATTAAGCATTTAAAGTGTGTGTTCTAGTGTGTCTCTCCAGCTCCTACTGCTGTCCCCAGCCCGACAGACGCACCCCGCCCGCCTGACAGTCTGACGCTCCACCCGTCATCAGATGCACCGGTCAGTCTGAATCTACTAGAAACACCCAGTGTTGGATAATTGACCTTAATAGGATTAAGTGGTAATAGCAGGCGGGAACTACACGACTGCAGAAGCATCCTACAGGTCGACGCCACTGACAGCTGCTGGATGCTGGTCCACAGGCAGACTGACACTAATAAGACCCTTAGAGAGGCTGTCACTGCCTTAGTTCATTATCAGACCAGGCCTGTTAGCAAACTTTGGCATTACAATACATTTGCATTACCTGGTCTTCAGCTAGCCTGCTAATTAGCAAGCTCATTGTCTCTCTGCTGCACAGGTGACATTGTTCGTGTTTTCAACATCAGGTGAAGTTGACTGTATTGTTACTATACACAACTGTGTGGCTGAACATTTAGCAGGTAGCTGAAATCACTCAGCAGCAGGACATAACAGTGGTAGTTCAGCAGAGAAGAGGATGGAAGTGTGGCCAGTGTTTGCAGTGAGCTAGCGCTCAGTCCAAGATGGTGTGACAAAGGTCACATGCTGACCTCCTTATTTAGAAGGTCCTGGCTCCAGGAGGAAACGATGGTGCCGAGTGCAAGCAGTAACTCGGGGCTTCCAAGTGGTTCTAACACAAACCAAAGGGTGACTGGCACCTTTCTGCGTTCACTGTGTACACGGTCTGTGGGTAACAGTAGAGTAACAGTGTGAACTGATCTGTGGCCTGTTGAACAGGATGAGACCAGCAATGAAGCAGAGCAGAACCAAACCAGCAATGGCGCCCCCAAGAGTCTGATGGAGGACGACCCCTTCAAAAGGGTACAGAGCTCCACACACTGCCCCCAGTCACACACTTACACAGACTCTGTTAGTTAATACACTCGTACCTGCTGGCTTTGTCAGGAGTCTGTAATCAGTTCACGTCTGAGTGAAGACTCGGGGAACCCTCGAGGTTACTTAGTGAAACCAGGCAGAGTCACTCTGGCTAAGTTGAGTCACCGGGCTGAATTTCGGCCAGGTCAGTTGGAGCTCAAGTTCAGTGCCGGTTCCACATTGTAGTGTGGGAGCAGAAAGTCGAAACGTGGAGTTAACACATGGTACGAGATTGTTGAATTACTGTATGATTATTTTGACCGCACAGGTCTACACAAAACATACTTGTTAAAACTAATATACATTTTCATCATGAGACAAAAACCAACACCAGTTTAATCTGGAGATGCTTTGAGTTAATTCACGTCTCAGTAGCAAACAAACACTGCTGCAGACGTTTCTGTGGAGAGGTTTACTGTGATGCTGAAATGTGCATGTTTTACTCCTGCCTTGGGTTGTGATGTAAACAGGGCATTGTGTGCCATCATTTTATTTATGATCATAGAAATGTAGCTGTAGAAAACATCAGTAAGTTCTTAAATACTTCCCTGTGTTCCTGCAGAGCTAGGGGAGTAAACAGACTTCACCCTCAGTGTGTAGTTCCACATATCACAGAAATCTGCTTCTTCTGATTGAATCAGGATGTGACCTTTTCTTGTTGACTCATTCTGCTCTGTGTATGTGTGTGTGTGTCCTGCAGAGGCTGAAAGGTGCGGAGTCCCCAGACAATGAGCTGCAGGATCCAGGGGCCTCGCTGGAGCAGCAGGTAACAGCACAATCACTGCATCTGCAGCCTTAGACAAATACTCTGAATTCACAGTCAGGGACACAGTTTGTGTGAAATTGTCAGGTGTGTTACCTCAGCTTTCTCGCTGCCAGACTTCCTTTTTGTTTTTAATGAAAGGACGTAGTTGGTGATTTTCTGTGTTGTTGTGATTTCCCACCAACCCCGTCCTGAGACCAGCAGCACCAGTGAGTGTGGTGTCCTCACCGTCATGTGAGTCCAGACCCTGGTCCAGCTCATCACTCTGTGCCGTAGACCTCCACTGTTGTCCACCAGCTATTAAACGCCCCCAGTGAGCCACACCGCTGCACTGGGGGGCAGGTTTCCTCCTCAGGGAACGTGGCATGCCGTCTGTTTCCACCAACCGGCCCCCACAGGCTGAGAACAGCGTCACTGTGCACGGTCTGAGGGAAGAGTCGCTGGTCTCTGGTCACTCTGCTCTGCTGGCTCCTCACACTGCAGTGTGTTGGAGCTGTCTGATGAAAACAGACGGGACATAAATGCACTCTGCGATGCATGAATATAGCTTTGCCACCACAACCATGCCAACACAAGTCTGGCACACTTGACATGACAGAAAACCAGAGTTCCTGCTGTTTCAGCTGATTTAGTCTAAAACAGGTTTTATCCTCCTCCTGTTCTGTTCCTTCTGTTGGGTTTGATCTGTCACTGAGCTGATCAGTCACTCTGATCTGGTCTGTGTCTGTGTCCAGTCCTGCAGGTCACACAGCAAACAGACAGCAGCAGCATCTCCTCCTCCGATCAGCCCCAACCTGCAGAGCGCTACCAGAGGTACAAACCGTGCATGAATTCAGGAGAACTAGCCAGCTGAGTCTGTGATATCAGTGCAGTGGGCTAAATATTAGAAACACCTCTGTGAGTCATTTGTTAAGCAGAAATAAAATAGGTAATGTTGTATGAACCATGACACTCATGAACACAAAGGTGCACATATTCACACAGTAGTGTGCACAGAGTGAAATGGCCTCTCTCTTCGCTGCTCTTCGTGCCTCAGCGTTGCTGGAATACGCACACTGCCAGTTGCTCATAATCTGTTTTCCTGTTGTTGTTGTTATTATTATCAACAGGAATAGTGATTTAAAAAAAACTCAATCACGTGCTTTATAAATGTTGTATCTGTCATGTAGTCTGACCATGGAAAGGTGAGCTTCCCCAAAAGCTGTGCTGTAGTTCGCTGACCACTGAGTGTATATTTTGACACCTACAGTATGTGATGTAGCAGACCTGACACATCATGCATAAACTGCCGATATCAACACTGTTAAGATCCAAAGAGGTGAAGGAATGGTTAAAATGACGTGCGGGCTCGTGCTAGTGCACGAGTGCCATGTGGTAAACATTGTTGCGTGTGCAGTCAAATGCTGCTGCAACGCCACATATGTGGACGTTTCTACACTGGGGCATCAGTGTTCCGAATAAACTGACCGCTTTGTGTGTAACTTCTATTTACGAGACAGGCAGCAAACTAATCTCCCTCCTCCTGGTCCCCCTCAGACCCAACCTGCTGCGCGGTGGTTCCTGGTCAGGAGACGGTGCTGGAGATCTGTAAAGGTCGATCAGGACTGGGCCTCAGTATAGTGGGAGGAAGAGACACCCAGCTGGTAGCACGCACACACACACACACACACACACACACACGTTTTTAGTGTGTTTTCTGTTGTTTAGTTTTTACCTTGATTTTATGTTCTGTTACATTTAGATGTCAAACAGCTTCTCTTATGGTACATTCATATTGTTCCAGCAAGAACGCAACTCCCTGCTGTGTTTTAAGGCACGGGGCCGCATTGGTCGGGGGGAGGGGTTACAGGGGGGATTGTTTAAGGCATGTAAAATGTTGGGACGAGTCCATGAGAGTGGCTTTGTTCATGTTTCCAACCTGTGAGTTTCCGCTGTCCTTTGGTTTGTTAACGTGGCCAGTGTGTCAGCATTGATGGATGAAACCAACATTTAAAATTCGGTACTCACTGAACTTCATTGCGTGTCATCATGGCATGTTAACTGCGGCCCAGATTCGACAGTGAATAGCAGTGAATCCTCAGTACTCAAATGAATGGAGAAGGCTGTGTTTTTTCAGTCCTTTGAAACTCAGCCAGGCCATAGCCTTATTTTTGTCTCTGTGTGTTGATCATATAGATCCCTGTCCCACTTGTTTTGGACAAGATTCTATATGTAAACAATGTAAAAGGCAGCGCTGCAGTATTTGAACTGACCTGTAGTACTGTAGTACAGATCTGTGGTACTGCAGAGAGTGAGCGCTTCATCAGCAGCTCTGTTTCTGCTGATGAATGATGCAGCAGCTGAAACACCTGCACTCAGCTCTCTCTCCCTCTCTGTATCACTGTTGCTCTATGTCTCTCCACCAGGACGCCATCATCATCCATGAGGTTTATGAAGAAGGAGCCGCAGCTAGAGACAGACGACTGTGGGCAGGAGACCAGATACTGGAGGTACTTGTATGTAGTACTGATGGTACTACTGTGTTTTCATTTGCATTATTAAATGTGTTCTGCTGTTTCTGACATGGCTGACATGAAGTCCTCCTCATAATAGGTAACTTCACCTCGATATTGACATTACCCTCAATATTACTACTTTCTTACTAGTATTACTACTGTGACTAGTGCTGTTACATGTCCGCTTACTGCAGTAAGCGGACATGTAACGGCAGCAGAGAGAATAACTGTTGTTGCTGTTTACTAGCTGTATGTAGGTTGTCAATGTGTCGCTGATGTTGTCGGCTCAGCTGAAGTGTTAGTCTGACTGTGACTTAGCTTTATTCATGCACATAGCACACACACCCAGATATGGATAATACACAGATGTAACATCACAGCCCCAGTCCAGCACAGAGCAGGAGCATTAGGCAGACAAATCAGAATATAATCATTCAAAACAAACTCTAAGCAGCATGTAACACAAATAAAGCTGGAGCTCGACAGCTGCCTTCACCGCTGAAGAGTCACTAACACCTGATGGTGACTGTCTTTTAACAGAAGCATAACTAATATTGTAATAAACTTAATTTATGAAACGCTTTTCAAAAACAAAGCATTCAGCATAATGAAAGCTTAAGTGTAATTGTGCCTCTAAACACACAGAAAACAAACACACCCAACAAAAGATAATCAGTCAGAAAACATGAAACCTTCTAAAAACCGAAGTACAACAATGATGTTAGTGAAATAAATGGATGACTCCTGACAGACTGATACATGTGGAGAGTGTCTCCCCCTGCTGGACAGACACTGACAATACACTCACCTCTGCTGCCGTTGATACTGTGTGTGTCTGTGTGCCCAGGTGAATGGTGTCGATCTGCGCGGGGCCTCCCACGAGGAGGCGATCGCCGCCCTGCGACAGACGCCGGCGAAGGTGCGTCTGATGGTGCTAAGGGATGAGGCTCAGTACAGAGACGAGGAGAACCTGGATGTGTTTAAGGTGGAACTGCAGAAGAAGAGTGGCAGAGGGCTGGGACTCAGCATTGTCGGGAAGAGGTCTGCCTTAAAAACTGACACACAGATACACCTGCACAAAACTTTGCGTTGAATAAATATAATACAACACCACAGCGGTGGAAAAAACACTGATCTTTTATTGAGGAAAAAACAAATAGTTTTAGCCCCACAACATAATTTTATATACAGTATAAAATAGACTGTTCAAAATACTCATTCAAAACTTTACTTAAGTACAAAAGTATTTGCATCCAAATCTACTTGAAGTACCAGCAGTACCAGTACTCATCCTGCGGAATGGCCTGTGTCCCAGTAATGTCTCTGATACTGGATCATAGTGACTGATGCATTACTGTGTCCATCGCTTTAATGCTGCAGCTGGTAAAGGTGGAGCTGATGGTAACTACCTATATAGTTATACTGTGAAGTACTTTACATTCTGCTGGGTAGCTGGTGGATTTCCCACCGGGATCAATAGAGTCTGATGGTTCTACTGGGTTTGGTTTGATTCATCTGATTCTGGAAAGGAAGTGAAGTTATCAGGTACATGTAGTGCAGTAAAAAGTACACGGTTGGTCTCTGACATGGAGTAAAGTCACAGTATGAAGTAACAGGACATGGAAATACTCGGGTAATATACAGTACAGGATATGAGTAAATGTAAATGTAACTTTCACTGCTGCAACCCTGTGTGTGTGTGTGTGTGTGTGTGTGTGTGCGCGCGCCAGGAGTGGCAGTGGCGTGTTCATCTCTGAGGTGGTTCGAGGGGGCGTTGCTGAGCTCGACGGTCGTCTAATGCAGGGAGATCAGATCCTGTCGGTCAATGGAGACGACACGAGACACGCCTCCCAGGAAACTGTGGCTGCCATACTGAAGGTATCACTCTCTCTCAGACACACACACACACATGTTGGCTCAGAGCTGCAGCAGTAACAAAACCTTAGTTGCAACTTAAAAGTGCATGTCATTTATATCAAACTGTGAGACAGAAGGACTCCAGCCTTTATCATTTAACACTTCCTGACTGTGACCTCAGCTTCAAGCTCGTTGGTTCCTATTGAAGATGTAAATTTAAAAAACACAAATGTATAGGTCCACTGAAACAGAGCTTGTTCATTTCCTAAAGCAGCTGCTCACTGTAGGGAGCGGACTGACCCACATAGCGCAGTAGTGAGCCGCCATGTTGGTACAGGGAACCCTCCTCATGCACGTGCGTACATGAAGGCAGCAGGTCTGTCCACCACTCGAATCATCAGAACTCTGAGATTACAACTGATTTTCCAGCTTTTTGGTTTAGCTACAGAAGTATTTATGACACAGGACACTTGGTTACATCAAAACAATTTATCTTTATAGTGACGGTGATAATATAATATTTAAGACTCATAGATTCTACATTTATTCTTTGTCGCAGTGTAAAATGGCTGCCATGGCATCATTATAATGATAGTATAAACTGAGATCATAAAAGATATTAATTACAACAAATACTAATGAAATTTGTGTTGAAATATTTTTGTTTCCATATTTACTATTTATTTATTTGACAGATTATTTTAATAGTAAATAACAAAATGAGCAAAACAGTGAAACCAGTCTTAAAATAACATGTCATCTGTGAAATGTTCTGTGTTGCTTGTTTCATTCAAAATCACCTCCACCATCCAACGAGCTCGTTGCCTGCTGCTGTGTGACCTGAACCCTGCTGCAACACGGCGGCTCACACACTGGAACATGTGAAGACACTTTAACTTAACTGACTCCACTCAGGCAGCAGGATGTGGTTTCACCTGTCACCATCTGTACACATCTCCTGTGTGTGTCCTACAGTGCGTGCGGGGGACGGTCCTGCTGGAGCTCGGCCGATTCAAAGCTGCATCCTGGATCTCATCCAGACACAGCTCACAGGGAAGCCAGGTGTGTGTGTTGCTATGGTTGTGTATTTGGCATCTTTAATTTGGCAAACGTTGTGTCTGAAGCCTGGAGGAAAGACAGGATGTTGTTTGTTTAATAGTGATATTGTAAATGAAAAGGGAGGCAGGATCTGGCTGCTTCTGTTTGGCTGGTGTCTTGTAAACTCACGCAGGCAGAGTGTGTAGAAATACATGAAAATGAAAAGTGCTTGTAAATAAAGCAATGTGACATTTCTGTGGACTGTTTTACTGTGTTTCTCTCAGATGAGTCATGTCAGTGGGAACAGCAGCGTTGTCATGGCGCCGCCCCTCACACAGACCCTGACCTCACCTGACCCCCCCACCGCCAACCTCCTGACCCCGACTTCTGCTGGGCCCCCGCCCCACAACAACAACATGAAGTCCACCAGTGACATCACTTCCTGCTCTGCCATTAGCACAGGTAGAGACCAGGAGGTGGGGTCAACATGACATCAAAGACATTAGTGGCATAACAACTGATGTTGATAATGAGACCAGATGAAATGATCAGTCAGTCAGTTTGTGGCTAAAGGTTGCTTTGACTGTTTCCTGTGTGTGTGTGTGTGTGTTTGCGCGCAGGGGTGGATGCAGGCGTCCGTACAGTGGAGCTCACCAGGGTAAAGTCCTCACACACAAATACACACATCTCATGTTAGCAAGCTGTTTTTACCCTGTAGTTCAGAGCCTGATATGTTGAGAAAAAAAATCACTTGCACATGAAACTACAGAACTGGAGCTTCTGCATCAGTATGTATCATTGTTAGAGGGCTGGCAGACACCTGGAGACAGTGCTGGTGAGAGAGAGTGGACAATGTATAACTGTACACAGAAAACTGGCAGTGAGCTGAAAGTGAAGCAGCAGATTTATTGGTTTGTTTTTTTTGAGTTCAGACTTGTTAGATCTGTGTTTAAAAATTCACTTCTGTCTCATTTCCTTTGCACATTTACACACAGTTTCATGTGTTATGCTGCATAGTAAAGTTAAATAAGTGACAAGTTGAAAGCTGAACCTCTGCAGGCTGACACCACAGTCTGTCACAATTTCACACTAAAGAGCAAAGAAAGCTGTTGGCAGCAGCAATGTATTTCTACTGTCACCTGTTCTGACTGTAGTTCAGTAATTAAGAGAACCTGGAGTATCTAACAAATATGAGCTGATCATGTTCCTGATGACGGCCTTAAACACTGTGAGAAAGCTCAGCTGCACTCAGTGCATGTAAAGAAGAGGCTCTTATTCTGAAGCACACAGGAAGTCATTGTTTTCCATCACTGTTTCTCTGTCCTCCCCGCTCAGGGTGTCAGGGACTCCCTCGGGGTGAGTATAGCCGGCGGTAATGGCAGCCCGCTGGGTGACATCCCCATCTTCATTGCCATGATTCAGGCCAGTGGAGTCGCCGCCAAGACGCACCAGCTGAAGGTAAACTGAGAGACGTGGTGCTAGGTTCAGTGGTGGAAGTTCTCGGATCCTTACTGCAGTAAAAGTACTAATGCTATACAGTGGGTATGGAAAGTATTCAGACCCCCTTAAATGTTTCACTCTTTGTTATATTGCAGCCATATGCTAAAATCATTTAAGTTCATTTTTTTCCTCATTAATGTACACACAGCACCCCATATTGACAGAAAAACACAGAATTTTTGACATTTTTGCAGATTTATTAAAAAAGAAAAACTGAAATATCACATGGTCATAAGTATTCAGACCCTTTGCTCAGTATTTAGTAGAAGCACCCTTCTAGAAGCCATGAGTCCTTTTGGGAATGATGCAACAAGTTTTCACACCTGCATTTGGGGATCCTCTGCCATTCCTCCTT